AAAACGTTCTCTTTTTCTGTATCCATGGCTGTAAGATATATCATTCTTCTTTTTGGGTAAAATATGTAAGATATATTTTATTTTTTTGGTAAAACACTCGTAATGAATAAACGAGTGTTTCTATAATTAATCACGAATGTTGGAATAAAGTATAAATTTCTTCTTATCCATGTTCAGAAATCTTATTACTATCAATGTCGTAAAGTAAAAGGTATGATGATGGGTTAGTAATTATTGAATCTAAAGGTCCCATAAATATTCCGTGGGCCTGATACTAACATTCCCACCATCCAATTTCATAATCTATTATCGCAAGTTGAATAAAAAAGGGTTCTTGACGATGACCCAAAAAAAAAAGGGTTTCGTTAATTATTTCTTGCAGCACACATACTGCGCTATGCAACGGGTATTGTAAAAATAATGAACAAGTTACGAATGATTTAACAAATGTTTTTTTCTATAAAAATAAATTTAACAAATGTTAATAAGATACCCATACTGGAATCGATAAGATGCGATGCAATGCGATATAAAGGATTGTCAATTGCTGAACCATTACTATGAACCAAACGATTAATCTTTGAATCAAACTCTACAATCGACTAGTTCACGTGAGCTTGCCAAATGCCAAGGTGATTTTTGTGAGGCCTAGCCAGAAAGTTTATGTGAAATAAAGCTATTAAAAGAAATCAGCGTAATAAACGCAACACAAATGCTTTTAAAACATTTTAATAACAACAAATAAAATGAAAACATGGCACATAATGAGGAGATTAGATCTCATTTACGTTTGTTTAGAATTACTTATAACTTGAGATTATGTATCCCAAGTCACCTAACAAAAGCATTAAAGGTTACATGATAAGATTCGCGATCGTTGTCAACTTTTCTGTTTGTTACAAATTTATGATCATGCCTCCTTCGTATTTATTCGGTTTACCAATTTTCCTTTTTAATTCGTACTTATATATTTATATTTTCGTTGTGTGAACTCGTCTCGTACCAACTTGGAGTTATAGACCACAAAAAGCACATTTAGATCCCTCAAAATATTATTTCAAATAACCACTAGCCACGAATGAGAGCTACTTATAATTGTCTTTTGCATATATGTCTGTGTGTTAATTATATCGTCGGTAATAATCATTTCTTCGTACTTATATTTATGTTTTTATTGTGTGAACTCGTACCAACTTGGAGTCATGTACCACCAAAATCAAATACAAAATGACTCGAACATTATTTCAAATCAAAATGACTCAAACATTATTTCAAATCAAAACTAGACACGAATGAGAGCTACTTACAATTGTCCGTTGCGTAGTACCGTGTTAATTAATGAATCTTCAAACGTCGGTAAGAATCATCGTATTTTCTTTTGTCGTTGATTATCACAAAGTTCCAAAAAAAAATCCAATGATCAATGATCTTTTTCTTTTTATAGAAATCGAATGATTAATGATAAAATAGAGAATTCAATCAATTATTTAAACATATATCTGTACAGTACACGTAACTGAAAGAAAGATACGATCGATCATACACCACTGATTCACTGTAGGCATGTTAAACCATACAGAAAATTTAAAATAATAATAATAATGTCGCTAATATAAAGCAAAATATCACGAAATTCTCTTTTAGTGGCCCCAAAATTTACCCGGAGTCGACGAACCAGATCCAGATCCGGATCCGGATCCTTTTGCCGAAACACTCCCTGAGCCTCTAGTCCCAAAGTAAAGATCCGAGAGGTAATTTCCTAAATCTTCAGGGGTATATCTGACAATAGACTCATTAAACGTTTCAGGTACCAAACCGACCCGGTTTATCTCGTAAAACTCGGTGTAAACCAGCATGAGTTTCTGACTCAACGAGATTTTAATCTGGTCCCTAAGTTTCGGGTCGGGTATGACCCACGAAGTCTGTTTCCGGTACGACGACTCGAATTCCTCGTTGAATCTAACGAACAATTTTTTCGCCTCCTCCGCCGAGATCTCCTCCGTCGGATTTTCCGGCAATGAAGTCAGCACTTTCCCCCACGCGAGCTTCTCGAATTTATCCGCGTACTGTTTCACCTTCGCTTCGTGCCTCACTATCCAATCTTCTCCGAGAAGGAGCTTCAGACTCGACGATCGGACTTTAACGACGACGTACTGGAGATTGTTGGCGAGGAAGAGATAAGACAGAGCGACGTCTTTGTACGGCTGAGCTTTACCGTCGATTTTGCAGAGCGTGAGAAGAATCACCCAAGCGATTCGTACGGACACCGGAGACGAATACAGATCCTGAGGATGAGCTTCGTCTCCGCCGTTAACGAACAAGGAATCCGGTAAAGGAGACGGCACGACTAATTGCCAGTTTTCGAAGATCGCGGCGATCGATTCGTTGTAATCGGCGAGGAAGGAGAGGTAATTCATGACATAACGAGTCAGAGGATGAACACCACCGCCGATAATCGGCGTTTTGGATGTTTCTTTCTGAATCGCAGATTCGAAATCAGTCATCATCAACCTCGCCGCGTCGCCGAGTCTAGCTAACGAGTTTATCACCTGAGACCTAACCGCCGCGGCTGAATCGAAGTAGAAAATCGATTCGATCTCAACATAGAGATTCGCGAGCGCTTCGTACATATCGAGGAACCGAAACATTTTCTCCGGCGTTAATTTCTTGATCTTTGCCGCATTTTCCGGGAAAGTGAAGAGGTTCAAAGCTCCTTCCTGGGTGATATCGGTGAAGCAGGACTCGACTATGTTAACGTTGGAAGAGAAGACATGATCAGCGAGAATCCTCTCACCGAAAAACAGAGATCTCACAGCTAATTTCACAGCTCGTAACCACGATTTGATCTTCGTTTCCAGAATCTCCCAATCCATTTTCTGAATCTGATGAAGATTAAATCTCTCCACCGCCAGATTATGCAGCGTCTCATCAACAATCGATCTCCGTACGGTTTTGTAAACCCTAACGCATTCCTTAGCGTATCCAGTGGAAATCATACAATCCGCAATCATTTTGAGATCATCCATGGCGTCTGTATCTCCGCCGGAGAATCTATGCTCGTCGGCGGAGTTTTCTTCGTAAGTGCTTTCGTCTTCGGAATCGGAGACGCTAGTCGGAGTCGAGGTGCTGAATCTGGAAGATCTGTAAGACCTAACGGAAACGGATTCGGGATCTAGATACTCACGATTCGCTTTCAAGACACGATAAAACTCTGATTCGAGAAGCTTCATCGCCGATTGCATGAGATTCTGAGCGAAGATGAGCTTCTCCGATGAAGGATTAACGGAAACCAAACGGTGCATCGTGCTCTGTAAATGTTTAACGGCTAGAGCAAACTCCTCAGCTTCACGACGACTGTTTGTGGAGAAGAGGTATTCGTCG